AACTCTAAAATAAATAAATAAAATAGGTAAAGAGCATTAATTTTCGTGTGGGACTAGTTTTATTAAAGGCTCAAGTAAATTTAAAAAAAAGTCATTCTAACATCAGAAAGTTATATAAACTGAAGATTGGTCATGTTGAAATCAGTTAAATTGAAACTTAGATTTATTTKAGAATAAAGTCTAAAYTTGCGACCWGTCCAGGGTGTACCCCRCCCCTCGCACTGTGACTGCTGGATATGGGCACCAGTGACCCMCGYRACCCTGAAAGGWAGAAATAGATAATGAATGGCTKGCTGGAGGGATGCATTACAGCRCATCTTATACGGAAAACAAAGCCAAAAATTTGTAAAGATCCCAAAAAAGTGATGTGAACACATCCAAATTTGACTAAAACAAATCAATTGCTTTATGGTAATTTGTTTTTCTTGTCCATCTATTAAAATAAATGTAGCTTTTATAGTTTTAGKTTATGTGTACAGTCTATGTATACTTATTGTGGTTCAGAGTTTGATTTGAGTTACATTAATAGATGCAAATTAAATAATATACCATGTTTGCTGTATTTGGCATTTCTTTATGAAATAATTTTTACTTTGGCTGCCTTTTTTAAAGCAAAATTTGACTTTGAGAAAAGTGCTAAAAGATATGTCCCACACTAACGATGTTAAAAATCAAAAAGTCCAGATTTAGTGTAACTTTCAACATTTCTTTCATCAAAGCAAATGGTTTCCTTTTAAAAACTCAGAACTGACTCATCCAAAGCATGTCCCTGGACTGTCTTTAGTGAGGTCTTTTATTTTTCTTTCGCGCTGATTAGTTTAATTACCACCTACCTGCAACAAAATTATCTCATTACCTTCTAGCTTTCTACACGACTTCCTTTCAGGCTTTCAACACACGTGGTTTCCGTTCTGAATGCGACGGCCTCGCAACAGACTCTGCTCTGTCGAGTTCATGTCACTGTTTTTCTGATGCACATCCTGCCTGTCAGTTGACTTCATCCAGCACATTTTCATACTTGATTAGACAAGAATGTGTTTCTGACTCTGTGGATCGGCTTCGGATGTTTCAAAAGCCATCAGATCAGATGTCACTCTGCCGAGCCAGACAACCTCTGCAGACAAAAAGAACACCATGTATAGCTACGAGCAAACACTTGATATCAACAGCCTCACTTTTCTCTTGAGGACCATGTGTGTGTGTGTGTGTGTGTGGACTTTATCATCATCTGTGGCTTCTGCATCTGCACACACACCCCTGTTTGATACCATTCCACCGACAACACTGTCAAGAGTGTTCCCGCTTCATCACACTGATGCTGTCCAGAATCATATCTCAAATGGGGCTGCTGCTCTTTGAACTGAGATTTTATGCTGATGTGTGTGTGTGTGTCTGTGTCTGTGTGTGTGTGAATCTGTGTGTGTGTGTCTGTGTCTGTGTGTGTGTGTGCACTTTCCAACTGCATATCTGCGCCTCATTTGCATTAGAGCTGAATGTCACTTGATGTGTGTGTTTATATGAAAAAGATACGCGTTGCTCAACTTTATTTCCCACTTTCATATTTCCTTGTAATAACCACCCGAAGGGTCCGTTGGGTCATTTGTGTGTCAAGCGAGCCAAAACCCCTCCGGCGTAGACTAACACAAGATGGCAGTGCCAGCCTGTAAGGGCAGCAATTAAGGAGGAATCAGTTGCAAATGATCATATTGCTTTCTTATTAGTTATTCTGGCTGGCTCAAAAAAAAAATAATAAAGAAACAGATGAAACACACCAGCATGGATGAACTCATGGAGATGTGCTCACTAGGGGTGCAACAATACATGTACTCGTATCGAACAGTGCTTTAGGTTCAATGCACATTTGTATGGAACAATACAAATTTTTAAATTTTACTTTATCAGCTTGTCTTCTGAAGATACTCTGTGTTAAAGGATCAGTTGATCTGTGTTCGACTACTCCATCTAGGCTGTATTTTTGAGTGCAGATCCACTGAGAAACTTGCTGTTTCAGCAACATTTAATTTAAAAACTGTACTTTTGAGGTTAAACAAATGTTCATAATTAATTTAAATCAATTACAAGTTAAAACCGTACCCCCACGCGGTCTCAAGTGGTCTCAGTTGCGTTTCTGAAATAAGCATTTTAAAATGTTTTCAAAATATATC